TCCGGATGGGAGGTCCCGGATTGGGTCGCTATCGGCCGGAATACGAGGTAGGTGGGGGTATATAATAATAAGGAACAAGGATGTGGCCCCCTAGCAGTGGCAACCTGCCCCGTCGCTACTCATGCAGAGATGCCGACTGGGGAGCCCGCCGCCGCCACCGTGGACCACAGCCCCACAGGCGAGCGGAGGGCGGTCACAGCGCCCGGGCCGTGTTGATGCACAGCGAGCTGAGGGCGGTGACGCTGCTGGGGGAGAAGCTCCACCCGAGCCTCTTCTTTGGGTGGAGGGCAGAGGGTGAAATCTGAAACGCCGTTTCGATTGATTTTCGAGGTTTGAGTCTGCGAGAGGTGAGTCACAAGACGGACTGACTTTCGAGGTGCAAAAGCTCATGTGGATTTCACCCTGGGCCCTCCACCCTTGGAAAATGCTCGGTCCACGGCCAGGAGAAGAGCTAGGTCTGGATTGAGCACCCCACGGTTGGGTACATCACTCAATACACTTCCCCCGGCTCAGAAAATATAGCCGGGGAGTGGACATCACGGGTGACTACGCAGAAGACTATATATATACACACACACACTAGAACCATCGCGCGCGCGCTTCGCGCGCGCTCAGGTTCTAGCCCAAGCCGGGGGGGCGCTGGACGATCTTGGACAACGCTATCGAACACAGGCGCGCGACGGCATCTGAGGAGCTTCTGGGGTGTTCCGCATGCTTCGTCAACTGGCTGTTGGAGGCACCTCTTGGGTGCCTCTTGGGGGGGCGTCTGAGGGTCCCTTGGGGGCATCGGTTCTGCAATCTGAAGCCGTCATTGGCCGTCTTGGCTGCGTGGAGGCCCGACTTGAGGCCACCTGCGGCTATATTGAGCAATCTGGAAGCCTCCCGGGGGCCTCCTGGAAGCAGTTTTGACGCATCGAGGGCACCCTTGGGCTATTTTAAAACCTCTAGGACGTCTCCTAGGGGCCTTTTGGGGCCCTCGGGAAGCTTTTGGGGTCCTCGTCGGACCACTTGGGGGCCTCTTGCGGCCTCTTGTGGGCCTTTTGGGGGGAACGCTCTGCTGTTGGGTTGCGTTCCCCTTCTTGGGCCTCTCTTGGGGCTCTTGGGGCCCTCTCGGGCCGTCTTGGGCGCCTCCAGCACCGCCTTGGGGCCCTCGCGGGCCGTCTTAGGGCCCTCTTGGAGGCCTCTTCCTCTATTTTGGAGTGGTATTGGAAGCCTCTTGGGCCGTCTTGGAGCATCGGGATGCCAAAAGGCAGAAAACATTAAAACCCGTCAAAGCCCAATCGTAAAACAATGAGTTGTGCCTCTTGGGGCCACCTTGGGAGATTCCTTGGAATCTCTTCGGCTCTCTTGGGAGCTTCTTGGGGGCCTCTTGGATCCGATTGGGGGCCTCTTGGGACTTCCCGAGAACCTCTCGTGGTAGAAAGCTCGGATTCTCAATTCCGTGTTTCCCTTTTTGGGCCTCTCTTGGGGCCGTTTTGGGACTTTCTCGGGCCGTCTTGCGTGTCTTAGGCAACGCCTCGGGGCCCTCGTGGGCCGGCCAGGGCCCTCTTGGAAGCCTCTTCGGCTATCTTGGAGCTGTCTTGGAGGCCTCTTCCTCCTCCTCGTCCCCCTCCTCCTCCTCCCACTCCAGCTCTCTCCTCCTGATCTTCCTCCTCCTCCTGCAGCGTGTTCCGGAAGGCTCCCGCCGGAACATGCTGTGCACAAATGCTGTCACTGCTCCCGCCACCGTGCCCTGGGTGGTGGGTCAGAGGCCTCATGGGTGTTGGTTTGGATCTCGTGGTTGGCCTGTCGGGGACGTCGTGAAGGCAGTTTCGCAGCTTTTCGGTAGCCGTTTTGGGACCGGTGTGGGGCCTCCTCGGGGCTGTTTTGTGGCAGGCCTCGTTTGGGCCTCCTGAGTGCCTCTTGGGGGCCTCCTGGGGCTTCTTAGGGGCTCCTTGGGGCACTCTTCAAGCGGGAGGGTCGAATTTTGGAGTCGTGGTCCCCCTCTTGGGCGCATCTTGGGGCCGTCTTGGGGCTCTGTTGGGCTGTCTTGGGCGACTCTGGGGCCGTCTTGGGGCCCTCTTGGGCCGTCTTGGGGCGCTCTTGGGGGCCTACTGAGCCGCCTTGGAACGTCGGTCAGCCGAAAAGGCTGGAAGGCCAAAATCGTTCAAAATCCTTCGTAAATTTAACGATTTCGGCCTCTTGAAGCGCTCTGGAGAGGCGTCTTGAAGCGTCGTGGAGTGCCTTGGGGGGCCTCTCGGGCCGTCTTCGGCTTATCTTGGGCGTCCTGGAGCGGTCTTTCGGCGACTCGGGGCCCGCTTGGGCCGTCTTGGGAGCCTCTGGAGGCCCTCCTGGATATTTTGGACCTCCCTGGCCGCCCCGTCCTCCCACGGGGGGTCGGAGGCGGCGGCCTCCGAGGCCCAGAAGGCGGAAACCATGTAAAAAACGTATGGAAAATGAGCCCCGTCCCCCCATGGGGGGTCGGGGCACCTGTTTGTGGGCCCCGGGCCGGCCCCCCAGGGATCTATATATATATATATATATATACAAACATACATACATACATACATACATACATACATACATACATACATACATACATACATACATGCATGCATGCATGCATGCATGCATGCATGCATGCATGCATACATACATACATACATACATACATACATACATACATACATACATACATACATACATACAGACACACACACACATACATACATACATACATACATACATACATACATACATACATACATACATACATACATACATACATACATGCATGCATGCATGCATGCATGCATACATACATACATACACACATACACACATACATACATACATCTATATATTTATATACATCTATACATATCTACAGATACGCATATACATAGGAGTTGGGCATTCTCGGCGTCGACGCGTCCGGACCGACGACGGCAGGCCGGGCTACGGCTTTGAAACAGGGCTCCAGCTCAGAGCACGCACCGCTCCACGACGAACAGCAGGCATTCCGGGACATGACTTTGGAGACGCTCGGTGGAGCAGAGGAGGAGGAGGCCCAGCGTGCGCGGGAGCAGACGGCCAGAAACTGCCGATGGCCATAGGCGATGACTGCACAGGCGCACTCTGGCTCGATAGGACCGACGCCCGACTCCGGCGAGCCGCACTCCGCCGACGAAATGATGTGTAACATCTCTGCGGTGAGAACGGCCAACCCTGAGCCGGACAAAAAGTAAGACAAATGTCTAATGGATCAACCCCATGTACTTCGTCATCGTGAGCATCATCACCAATTGTTGCCAGGCCGCTCACCCGTACCCCGTCCCTCCACCATGTTGTTCAGCGTATGGTAACTGACGTTGACCTCCACAAATGCACCATATGAATGTTACTCTCCTCTCTCCCCTGATGACGTCCGGAAAGTATCGGGCCCCCCACCGCGTACAATTATTGATTTTAACACACAGGATTCCCGGGCAGTGGGCTTTCGTTGTTTTTTTTTTTCTCGCTAAATCGCTAAATCGCTAAATCGCTGGCGTCATTTCGGCCTTCCGCTCGTTTCGAATCGTGCTCCCGCTGCAGCGCTGGCCTCATTTCCGCGCTTCCGCTCGTTCCGAATCGTGCTCCCTCTGCAGCGCTTTCTCCGTTTCCTGGTTAACATATGCGTTTGTATCAATGCGATTATTTGTACCAATCCGTTTGTATTTGAATGTTGCTCCCGCTGCAGCGCTGGCCCTATCTCTGCGCCGCTAAAACGCGCTCGTGCTGCAACGCGGGCGTTTTCGGTCCTTCCAAACCGGCTCCAAATATAGGAAATTACGCCCAGGAAACAAACATCGAAAGTGATTTCACATCCAGTGTTAATTCGTTGAGGTTTTGGGCCGCAGAAGGCCCCCACTTCGGGGCGGCGGCATTTGGGGGAAGTATCAAGCGGGAGCCCCTTTTCTGCTTGCAGAAAGCGATGTTGCAAGCAGAGCCAGCGGGTGCACTCCATCAGCCCCGCCTTGTGGGGAGCTTGTCGCGGAGCCCAAGGAACTAAACATGGAGCCGCGACTCCAAACCGGCCACGACCCTTCGAAGACTACCCACTTACCCCTGCCATGACATGCTATGCGGTGCTCTGTTCTGCGCCGCTGTGCGATGTCATGTTTTGCGTTGCAATGGTTTGTGATGCAATGCTTCACTACGCCGCAATGCCACGCCGTGCTATGACATTCTACGCTCTGCCGTGCTCTTCAACGCCATGCCATGCCGTGCCCTACGATGCATCGCGCACTCTCTCGCGATTCCTTGCCCTGCTCGACGTCCGACTGTGCGAAGAGAGACGAGATCTACGCCATGGTAAGGGATGGGAGGGAGGGGTAGGACGTCAGATATGACGCGAGCGCACCTGGCTTGTCCCCCCCCTCCCCCCCCCTTCGGTGCTACAACAACTCTCCAAGGACCATTCCGAGATAGCCCAGACCCTCCCGAGACACTCGAAGACAGCCTCCAGCCCTGGAGCACGGAGCCTGCAGCAAACCCCTGGGAGGGGGCCGAGCTGTGGCGCGGGCTCGGCGCGCCGCCGCCCCGACGGCCCGCGCGCGGTGCGCAGCGGTGCGCGAGCGGCGGCGCTCAGGGACGCTGCGCAGCGGTGCGAGAGAGAGAGAGAGAGAGAGTCGGGTCGGGCGAAAGAGAGAGAGAGAGAGAGAGACGGCGTCGACCAGAGGAGGGGGGTCAGATCGACAGAGGAGGACGAGGACACGAAGACGACGACGACGACGACGAGGACGACCACGAGGACGACGACAACGACGAGGACGAGGACGAGGACGTGGACGACGACGAGGACGACGACGAGGGCGACGACGAGGACGACGATGAGGACGACGATGAGGACGACGACGAGGACGAGGACGAGGACGAGGTCGACGACGACGCGGACGAGGACGAGATCGAGGACGACGAGGACGACGACTTCCGCAGGGCGCCGGCGGCCCCGGCCCGGCGGCCCCCGCGGGGCGCCGCTCCTCTCTGGCGGGCTCGTCGCCCCCGTCGCGCCTGCGCCGGCGGCGGTCGCGGCCTTCGCCGCCGCGGCGGCGGCGGTCGCGCTCGGCGCCAGCCTCGGCCGGCACGGGGGGGGGCGGTGCAGGGAGGCGGAGCAGGGATGCGCCCCCCGAGATCCTTCAGCTCAGCGATCTGGCCCCGGAGCGTCTCCAGGGCGACTGGGGGGGCGAGGAGAACTGAGCTGATGGGTTTCGGTATGCCAGGACACCAAACTCCATCGGTTCAGGAATCCCCGCCCCCCCCCAGTCGCCAGGGAGACGCTCCAGGGCCAGATCGCTGAGCTGGAGGATCTCAGGGTGCGTAAGGGAACAGGCCGGGGCGCAGCACCCGATTCGGGTGAGGGCTGGCAGCGAGGAAGCGGGGCACGGGCCGGGTTCCCGACACGGCGTTCCAGCACCGTGCGCACTGGCCGAGGACCACCACGGGGCTGCGGCAGCTAGCTGACAGCACCAAGGCCACCGCCGCTGCCAGCTAGCCACGTCGCCCCCTAGCGGACCTCGCGTCCAGACAGGAAGGCATACACTTCGGTCGGAAGAGGTAGACCAAAAGATGAGGTAGGAAGGCGGGAAAAGCAGACTGGGCCCAGGCCCTCCGAGAGAGAATAACAGAACGCAGCAAAACGTCGGCCCGCCAGGAGGGCGCGGAGGGTCAGTGCAGCAGGAGCACGACCACCAGAGACCTCCCACAGGAAACCCAGCCCCCCGAGACCACCGGGACGAGCCCCGCACTCTGACGTGGGGGCGCGTCCCGCTCTCTCCACAGCAAGACCATCGCAACCCGAGAAGCCCAGGGCACC